GGCCAAGTTCGCAAGTTGTATGGGCCTGTCAGGGTGGTCCATAGGCGTGAGATCAAGCACGAGCTCTTGTATCTTTATCGCGCGCTCAAGATCTGACGCATCCCCGCGGCGTCGGTAGAGGTCCAGAAGTGAGATGGCCAAGTTCGCAAGTTGTATGGGCCTGTCAGGGTGGTCCATAGGCGTGAGATCAAGCACGAGCTCTTGTATCTTTATCGCGCGCTCGAGGTCTGATGCGTCCCCGCGGCGTCGGTAGCGGTCCCAAAGTGAGACGGCCAATCTCGCGAGTCGATCGGGTCTGTTGGGATGCTCCTCGGGCGTGAGTTTGAGCGCGAGCTCTTGCATTTCCATCGCACGCTGGAGGTACGATGCATCCCCGCGGAGTCGGTACCGGTTCACAAGAGAGTTGGCCAAGTTCGCCAGTCGTTCATGCCTGTCGGGGTGATGCTCAGGCGTGAGTTCAAGCGCGAGCTCTTCCAATTCCATCGCACGCTGGAGGTCTGATGCATCCACGCGGAGTCGGCAGCGGTCTTTAAGTGCGACGGCCAAGTTCGCGAGTCGTAGGGGCCTGTTAGGGTGATTGTCGGGGGTGAGTTTGAGCGCGACCTCTTGCATTTCTATCGCGCGTGCGAAGTCTGATGCATCCCCGCGAAGTCGGTTGCGCTCCCCAAGAGAGACAGCCAAGGCCTCCAGACATTCGTGCCTGTCGGGGTGATCCTCAGGCGTGAGTTTGAGCGCGAGCTCTAGCATTTCCATCACGCGCTCGAGGTCTGGTGCATCCCCGTGGCGTCGAAAGCGCTTGTAAAGAGACACAGCTAAGTTCGCGAGTCGTTTGGGCCTGTCAGGATGCTCCTTGGGCGTGAGTTTGAGTGCGAGCTCTTCCATTTCCATCGCGCGCTCGAGATCTGATACCTCCCCACGCTGGCAGTAACGGTAGGTGAAAGCGACGGCAAGACCCGCAAGTCGGCTGTGCTTTTCGGGATGCCCCTTCGGCAGGAGCTCAGCAGCCTTCTCATGTGTGACAATTGCACGCTCGAGATCATCGAGCTCTCCAAGGCCGCGAAAGCGATCCACCAGGCACCTGCCGAAGTGTTCAAGTAATAGGGATTTCTTTATAGGATTCTCAGGTGTAAGGCTCACAGCCTGTTCAAGGACGACGATTGCGTGTTGTAGATCCTCGATGGTATCGAGACGCAGTAATCGTGTCCTGAGAGTGATACCAAGACTGAAGAGCCGATCGGAGTATTCGACATTCCCCGCGGGCGTCTCATCGAGGGCACGCTGGTGTACGGCAGTAGCTTGTTCGAGATCGTCCAACTCGCCAAAGCGGTCGAAGCGAGTACGCAGTGTGTCGCCAAAGTCAGCCAGTCGCGCTGGCTTATCAGGGCGCCCATCGGGAGTGAGGTACAGCGCTAAGCGATGTAACGCAAGCGCGAGATCAAGGTCCTCGATCTTCCCAAGATGCTCGTAGCGCGCGCGCAGAGACAGACCAAGACTGGCGAGGCGCATGGGCTTGTCAGGATCCCCCAGAGGAGTAAGGCTATTAGCCAGGTGTAGCTTTGCAACCGAGTTTTCAAGAACTTCAATGACACCGTAACGCTCGAAGTGAGCCCTTAGCTGGGACCCCAAGGTAGATAGTGCAGCCGGTCTATCAGGATTGTGTTTGAATAAGAAGTCAAGGGCAAGATTCTCCATGAACATAACCAACGGAGAGTGAGGAGAGGATAGACGATGTCTGCGAATTGAAGTTAATAGCGCCGGATCATGGTAATTGCAGCTAATTGCTTACTTGTGAAGGGGGATCTCAACCTGGACGTCAAGACTTGAGAAGGGGAGAAGCGAAACGCGGCGAACCATGTCTGCTATATGTATTGGCCTTGCGATGGACCACGGGCTATTAACGTTACGAAGCAGGCTGTGTTGCTTCGCAGGGTGTAGACGCGCACGCCATGGACACGCTGAACGGCAGGTGCCTTGGTACACTTAGGTAGGGCAAGGCCTCCCTGATCCATTCTGTGATGCTTCATGCATGGTGCGTTGTACGGACTGATAAGTTCGAGCGACGATATGGTCAGTCGACACCAAGGAGCGACGGGCCAAAAGCTCATCCGGGCGCTTGATGGGAGCGGAGACACGACAATGCCGACGCTGTGCCGGGGAACAAGTAGGTAACCGGTTACCCATAACCGGCAACACACAGTCCAAAGAGAGCTCTTCACTGCCTATCGACACAGCAGCAGCAACGCCTTCATTCACGAAGAAGAATGGGCTTGCTGTACAAGCGAGACCGTGGTGGCCGGCGGCCAAACCGCAAAGCACCGGCGCGGGAGTCGACGCGGCGAGCACGTTCGCGAATCTCGCTTGCTCCTGACTATCGCCATGACCTATCCACCCTCATCATATCTATGCCAAGACTCGTACTCTCCGTGCATATAAATCCTACTCTATGCTATCGCCTTGCGCGAGAGAGAGTAAAGACGCCGCTTCAGAGGAGTGTCAGCGTACACTCGCGCGTGTGCTGTCGCTGCATGTGTTGAGCATGTTGTGAGGAAGAAGGAGCGCAACTTCGAGCGAAGAGTGCCGGTGTTACGAGTACTATGATGACAAGGGCGACCCATCGGTACCGTGACTCAGACCCAGACGCACGGAAAAGTGAGTGCGAATACCCGTTTTGTGTTGAGCGTTGAGCTCCAAGTGCTGACTCTATTCTGTCAGCTCCTTTGCATCGGATGCCCGACATCAACGAGCCTCAGCTGCCCAAGAACGCGCCTTTGGTCCGCCAGCACTGCTTGGACGAACACTCGGATCCCAGCGACTACATTCCATCACATTTCTGTGCCTCCGCTCTCCTCTTTGTGCGCCCTCCTTTTGCCCCAGCCCCTGCGAAGATACTGATATTCGCATTTGTCATACAGAGTCACATCGTGGCATTATGCTTTCCTCCCTAAGAGACATACGGTCCGGTAATGGCCGACACCAACTCCCTCCCTCCATGCACACGCCTCGCAGATCTGGTAGAACCCCAACAGCTCCTCCACTAGTCGATTGGGGCCGCATCTTTCTCTACCACGGATTTTACCCGCGTTTACGCACATCTACTCCACACTCCTACCTTCGCCCCGAACCGTCTTGTGCGGGTACAGACACTTCTATCGGTCACACGAGCAACCCCAGCCAACCTCAAATCAGCCGTCCAAGGACAAGGCCCGGACTGTCCGCCGGTTTTTGCTCCGCATCCGCACTAGTGGAGAGCCTTGGGTATCGAACAAGTCAACGAGCGCGGATGATTCTACGAGGGCCGTCGCCGTTGCGACTGTTTCTGCGCTTCGGCAGGCTGGGGAAGCGTCTGCTAAACGATCTGCGACCGATACGATGCCGGGGAAGTACCTACGGAGGGTGGACATGGTGGACACGACGCGCCTTTCTGGCCGCCTACTTACGACTTCCGCTTTGGTCTTGTTGAGACGTACTGCGCTGTGCGCGATCATCGTTGGACTACTCGTGGACATCATGGATGTCGTCATGAAGGGGCCAGGCATACAGCAAAGAGCCTCAGGATTACAGTGTCCGCGTGAGCTCCGAACATGATGGAGTTCATGAACGCAACGAGTTTTTCGATGAAAGGAAATGCCGCGTGCCGAGTGCGGAGACTGGGTCTATGTACGCGCTGTAGGTCAGCTTTCCAAAATATATTGCGATTGTCGCGAGCATTGTATTGACGATACGTTTGCAGGTGACTCTGCCAGATCCTAGCCATGATTGCGTTTAGCGCGTGGTATCGTGTACATACTGGAGAAGATGGGCAAGATGAGTGGTACTTCCCCGTGAGCGCTCTCTCGTTTCCTTGTTCCCTCGGTACTGTAAGCTGACGGTGGATGCGCAGGTTCATCTTCCAGGCTGGGACGTTCTGGTCATAGTCCTCTTCGTTTTCCTCACCACATACGTTCACAACGACCCCAAGTCGAACTACCATCGCGGGAGTGTCTTCGTTCTCAGGTAACACCCGGACTTCTTGCCCCTGCTGGTTCAAGTTGCTGATCGTGTTCGCAGTTACTGCGTGCTCGTCGCGAACTTTTGTCTTGCGCCCAAGGAGCACACGGCGAGTGCCACGGGAACGCAGATAAGGTCGTTGTCGGGACGCAGTTTATCAAGGCCGGCGTAGAGGCTGCCAGGACCTGGCTCGCGATCTGAGCCCGGTCAACATCGGCCGCGATACCATTCCCACTTACTGTCTTCCTTCCCCCTTCCCATTCACCATTTTGACCGTTTATTTTGCACTACCTCTGGCCTGATGTTGGCCTGATGCAATTTCAATGGACCCGAGTTCTAGCCGCTCCTCGTCGCGAACCTTGCTCACGAAACGCCCACAACCATACTTTACCCCTTGTATACCTCGGTTCGCCCTCTCGACCGAGTTGATTTGATAGCTCTTGTACTCCTTCTGCATGGACACAACAATGGTTGTCCTTCCAATATTCTGGACCAGGTCTCGTGAGATCAATTCAAAGGTAGGGTTAGGGTTAGAATCGAGACGCGCCGTGTGCATCGTCGCGCGCTTTGCCTGAAACGGCCACCGCTGGCTGGATGCGAATTCATTCACTCAGGATCAGACATTTGGCATACCAAGCAGTACCCATTCCTCTTTGAGGCACATATCAATTTACACTACGGAGATCCCACTGTCGTACTACGAAGAACCCAGCACCGTGTGTACTCTATACGCCAAAATGCACAAATGGGGCCCACTTCACGAAGTTCCGCTCCCCAAGTCGCTCTCTCAAGACTTGCACCGCATAATGTAGCGCGTATGCCGCTCCCGTCTGCCCTTCAATCGCATCCGGCGTGCTTCTCAGCTCAAGGAGCTTCCTGTAGTACGCCTCGACAACCACCGGTGCATCGTCATCTCCAATGGACCACATCGTCGCGATGACACCCTTGAAGCCAACTGCGAGCATTCCTGCTGCGAGATGGATAGACTCCTCGGGGTTCTTATCGTCGCCGACGGCGGTCTGGCACGCCGATAAGAACGCAAGTTCGGCGTCACTCGCGACTGTGTTCATGAGCGACGACAGCGTCAGAGGTCCGTCATACAGCGCGAATGCGCTCTGCGTGGGCCGGACCAAGTCCTGAGAGCCGTGGCAGGCAAGATGTAACCAGGGATATTGACCGATCTCGGGGAGAGTAGCGGCGAGGGTAGCTTCCTCCTGGACCATGAACACGCTCTCCGGGAGGAGCTCGCGAAGTCGAGCACATTCGGCTTTCGTACCGGGAAGCGCTGCTAACTTGGGAGTCTCTGGCTGCGCAACAACAAGCATACAGGGCTTCAAGGTCGTAGCATTTAAGCCTTCTCGACAGCGTAGCAACGCAGACAGCGACGGGGTGTACGAGGAGACTACGAAGTCGAAGACGTGCGGTCGGCCGGGCTGCATTGTGTCATACTCGCCTGCGGCATGGAGTGGCAACTGAGTGAGTGGACCCGTAGGACACCAGGTGATGTGCGGCAATTGGCCCGGAATGTTGCTGCTGCCGATCTGGAAGTGAATCTCACTCAGCACGCCGCGAGTGATGGAAGGTTATCGAGTGAAACTTACACGGCCCATGCCTTGGAGAATCGGTTGTACAACCCATGTCCACAAACGGCTCAGGACTATGTCAAACATAGCTGAGGTACCGCTCCAGTTGTACTGTTCTGGACGCACGGAACCGCGTCTACGCGGATCCGACGCTGAAAGGCAATGCATCCAACGGGCCCTCAAGTTGCGTGCCCGGCTTTCTGTGAGGCCGGCAAGAGTAATGCGCTTGACCGCTCCATTTGGGGAGAGAACGAGGGCGTCGCAGGAAGAGCTGTGAATGTTGATGAAGACAATAGGTCCATCGAGGCGTTCAATAGACGAAAGAAGGCTGTCTATCTCTGGCGGACGCATGTAGTTCTCAAAGCCAGCATGGCTGCGAACTTCTTTCAGGATACTATCGTACTCGATGACCAGACGACGATGCTGATTCGCTCCTGTATCGTAGTCCGACTCCCTCGATTCTACAGAGTATCCAGATGTTCCCACACTGTGCAGAAGTTGTTCCGGCCCGAAGCCCTGTTGCTGCAGATCGGGATTCAACAAATGAGACACATTTTCAGAGCCTGAACGAAGTCTCAGTAACACGTCCTGCAAACGGGAGGCGAGAAGAAGGTGATTCTCCTTCAGCCTGTCCTCCGATGGAATCTGTAGAGATGTTATCTGCGACCATACGAGAGACCTGCCTGCCTCCATCCACTCTATTGCTTGATATCTTGAGCGAGCTTGGATGAAGGCCGCCACTGCAGCATTGACTAAGGAAGCCAGATTCGCCGACTCCTCGAACCGTCGATTGACGCTGTGCCCGAGCCACACTATCTCGGGAAAGACCCGGATAATGTTTGCATGTGCGAGGAGGAGAGAATCCATAGAGCAAAAGTCATCGTACTTGGAGAGAAGTGCTACACACGTTTGTGCTGCTTTCAAGCGAAGGGATGGATTACCGAGTAATCGTGTCGTGGCCTTCATGAAGCACTCAAAGGCAGAGTTGAAATTGCGCTTGCTCTGCTGCCTCTCCAGACGTGTCCAAAACGAGATGCCCAGGTTGTACAGACGTACAACCTCGTCTTGGTGCCCGACAGGGGTTAGTCCGAGAGCAAGCTCTTGCATCTCTATTGCGCGCTCGAGGTCTGATGCATCCATGCGGAGTGGGTAGCGGTCCAAAAGAGAGACGGCCAAGTTCGCAAGTCGTTTGGGTCTGTCAGGATGCTCCTCAGGCGTGAGTTTGAGCGCAAGCTCCTCCATCTCCATAGCGCGGTCGAGGTCTGATGACTCCCCAAGGCGTCGGTAGCGGACTCTAAGTGAGACGGCCAGACTCGCCAGTCGATCTGGCCTGCTGGGGTGATCCTCAGGGGTGAGTTTGAGCGCTACTTCTTCCATCTCCATCGCGCGCTTGAGGTCTGATGCATCTCCCCGGCGTCGGCATCGGTCCAAAAGAGAGACTGCCAAGTCCGCGAGTCGTTTGGGTCTGTCAGGATGCTCCTCAGGTGTGAGCTGGAGAGCAAGCTCTTGCATGTCTATTGCGCGCTCGAGGTCCGATGCATCGCCGCGGAGTTGGTAGCGGACCCGAAGTGAGATGGCCAAGCTCGCGAGTCGTTTGGGTCTGTCAGGATGCACCTCAGGCGTGAGTTCGAGCACAAGCTCTTCCATGTCTATTGCACGCTCGAGGTCCGATGGTTGCCCACGGCGTCGGTAGCAGGCTCGAAGTGAGACGGCCAGGCTCGCTAGTCGATCGGGCCTGCTGGGGTGATCCTCGGGCGTGAGTTTAATCACGAGCTCTTGTAATTCCATCGCGCGGTCAAGGTCTGGTACATCCCCCCGGTGCCGGTAGCGGTCCCAAAGTGAGAAGGCCAAGCGCGCGAGTCGCTCAGGCCTGCTAGGGTGATCCTCGGGCGTAAGTGTGAAGGCAAGCTCTTGCAATTCCATTGCGCGCCCGAGTTCTGATACATCCCCCCGGCGTCGGTGGTGATCCGAAAGAAACGAGGCTAAGTTCGTGAGTCGATCGGGTCTGTCGGGGTGATCGTCTGGCGTGAGTTTGAGCGCGAGCTCCTTCAATTCGATCGCCCGCTTGAGGTCTGATGCATCTCCGCGCCATCGGTAGCGATCCTGAAGGGAGACGGACAAGTTCGCAAGCCGATCATGCCTACTGGGGTGATCCTCGGGTGTGAGTTTGAGCACAAGTTCGTCCGCTTCGATCGCGCGCTTGAGGCCTGATTCATTCCCACAGCGTCGGTAGTGGTCCAGAAGGAAGACAGACAGGTTCGCAAGTCGATCATGCATCCGAGGATGGTCTTCGGGCGTGAGCTTGAGTGCAAGCTCTGCTACTTCGATCGCGCGCTCGAGGTCTGACGCATGCCCGTGGAGTCTGTAGCGGTCCGAAAGAGAGGTGGCCAAGCTCGCGAGTCGTTCTGGACGGTCGGGGTGATCGTTTGGCAACAGTCTGAACGCGAACTCTTCCATTTCTATGGCGCGCTCAAGGTCCGATGACACCCCACGGAGCCGGTAGCGATGTAAAAGGGAGACGGCCAAGTTCGCAAGTTGTATGGGCCTGTCAGGGTGGCCCTCAGGCGTGAGATCGAGCACAAGCTCTTGTATCTTTATCGCGCGCTCGAGGTCTGATGCATCCCCTCGGCGTCGGTAGCGGTCCCAAAGCGAGACGGCCAAGTTCGTGAGTCGTACGGGTCTGTCTGGATGCTCATCGGGCGTGAGCTTGAGCCCGAGCTCTTGCATTTCTATCGCGCGGTCGAGGTCCGATGCGTCCTCGTGGCGTCGGTAGCGCTCCCCAAGAGAGACGGCCAAGTTTGCGTGTCGCTCAGGTCTGTCAGAGTGATCCTCGGGGGTGAGTTTGAGCGCGAGTTCTTGCATTTCCATCGTGCGCTCGAGGTCTGATACATCCCCGTAGCGTAGGTAGCGGTCCCCGAGAGATACAGCAAGAGCGGCCAGTCGTTTGTGCTTTTCGGGATGCCCCTTCGGTAGGAGCTCAACAGCCTTCTCGTGAGTCGCAATTGCACGCTCGAGATCATCCGGCTCTCCAAGACGGCGAAAACGATTCACTAGGCATCTGCCGAAGTTCCCAAGTCGCATGGATCTCTTGATGTGATTCTCGGGTGTAAGGCTAACAGCCCGTTCGAGAACGTCGATTGCGTAGTGGAGATCGTCGTTGGCATCAAGACGCATGAATCGTTCTCTGAGAGTGATACCAAGACTGAAGAGCCGATCGGAGTATTCGACATTCCCCGCGGGCGTTTCATCGAGGGCACGCTGGTGTACGGCAGTGGCTTGTTTGAGATCGTCCAACTCGCCAAAACGTTCGAAGCGAGTACGCAGTGTGTCGCCAAAGTCAGCCAGTCGCGCTGGCTCATCAGGGTTTCCATCGGGAGTGAGATAAAGCGCCAAACGGTGCGATGCAAGCGCGAGATCCAAGTCCTCCGTCTTGCCAAGACGCTCGAACCGCCCGCGCAAAGATGAACCAAGGCTGGCAAGGCGCGCGGGCTTCTCAGGGTGCCCCAGAGGGGTGAGGTTGTTGGCCAGGCGTAGCTTCGCTACTGAGTTCTGGAGCACTTCAATAACACCGTAGCGCTCGAAGTGAGCCCTCAGATGAGACCCCAGGGTGGACAGTGCAGCCGGTCTATCAGGCTTGTGGCTGAACAGATATCCGAGGGCAAGATTCTCCATGAAGGTGATCGGCAGAGAACGAGGATTAAGGCGGCACCTCCTAAGTAGAGCCATCAGCGCCGGATTACGACCCATGAAGAAGTCGCTACTCACCTTGGGCGAATGCGACGACAGCCTAAAGGTCAAGAGTTGAGAAGGCGGGACGTGCAGATTATGAGGGTCTAAGACTACCTTCGGTATCCTGACAGCCGCTCGTCAACCCGCCGACCTTTCAACATCAGCAGGCTGTGTGACACGGGAAACCACATACATACGCATGCGCCATGGAAGCGCTGGACAGCAAAGCCGTCATAGGTTGCGCGTACCATGGCCGTGGTCCAGCCAGTGAAAACGGCTTCATCATTGTCTTCATGGCAAGCTGCCAGTACGCTCATCTTAGACGACATGATCGAGAATAACCAAGTAGAGATGAAGCTCATCAAGGCTTCCTCGGGCGCTCCAACGGAGCGGAGACATGTTAACGCCGATGCTGTGCGGGAGAAAGATGCAGAATACAGGTATAACCGGTTTGATACACAATCCAGCAGAGTGAGCTTCACGCCACCTATCAAGATAGCATACTCGGTGTCTTCGTTCAAAATACTGCGTTTGAACCGTCTAAGCAGGCACATGGTAGCGAGGGACAAAGCCGCAAAGCACCAAACAGCGAGGCTGGCGTGGGCGCATCACGCTTGCTTCTGACTATCATCACGACTTATCCGCCCGAACCCAAGACTAGGATCTGTACTCCCGGTGCGTATACAAATACAGTACTTTTGCGACGCATGCTTATTTGGCACAACGCATGCTTATTTGGCACAGGTCGTAAACCCATGCAAGTGCCTTGACGTCGAACTTGCGAGGGTCTTACACCCGCCAATCATGCCATCAGGTGTTGCGAGGACGATCGTCATCAGCTGAATATCCCTGGAAGGGCGTCACGAGCGCGAGAGATGAGCACGACGTCTCTTCCAACGACGGCCATACACACGGGGCGCATTCCCGTCCAGCTTCGACGAGCGCAGGCGAGCGCTCCATGCCGTATTCGAGCACCACTCCACGCACAACGTCGCTTCTGCTTTGCCCCGAGACCACATATATTCGCAGAATATCGGCGTCTCCAGCCCGACGCAAGAGACGCCCGCCGCGTAGTCAGAAGTGGATTACGTCGAATACGCCAGTAGCGCCCGAACTGGGATCGACGCTCGGCGTTTTTCGCCGCCCGACTGACGCCCGGCTCGCGTGCGCCTTCCAGTCCGAACAACACCATACTTACTGCTGTTATGCCCTCACTACGCTGCGGTCTCAAGCTCCAAGAACTCCGTCGGCGGCGTGAACATCTTGTTCGTCAACCTCGTTCTCGTCGTGGTTCTCGTCACTCGGCTGGCTTCTTCCCTATGCCATGGGTCGAATACCGCAAAGGGCACGGCAAATCTATCCCCGCTATCCTCACGGCCCTAGGCTCTCAAAGAGCCGTCTTCGTCTCCGCCATTCTCGGCATGGCCGTTGCTTCCATCTCCGCCCAGATCTCTGCCGACATAGCGCCGTGATCAATGCGCCCTTCGAGTTCAGACAAGCGTGAGTGTGACCTCCCTTTGTGAGTCAAGTTTCCAGAACTGACTTCATGTAATCAGTTCATGCTTGTCTGCACCGGCTGTCCGGCATCGACCAGCCCCAGCAATGCAGCCGAGCCTATGCCATCAGTCAGCCTTTACGTGTACCTCCTCACACACTCCTTCATCGGAGCCCAGATGAGCTACCATGTAAGAGCATCTTCGTCCCCAGGTGAGCCGTTTCTTGCTCCTTGTTCTCTGATGATACTGATGTCGTGTACAGTCTTTGTGTGCCCACCGCTCGTCGCGGGCTGTCACCTTCCGCTCAGTGAGAGAGCACTAGTCCGACGGTAGCGCACGAGTACGATTGTTTTAGGCGCACGATCTACAGTAGAGGCTGCCCAGATACGGCTCAAGATCCAAGCACAATCTCCTTGTCACTTCCTCATGTAGACTGCGCCTCCTTCTCAACTACTATTGTCCGTCAACTGCTTATATCCGTATCGTGTACCAATGCCACCTTTTACAATATAATGGACTCGCGCCGCATGTGTCCCTGTGCGACGACTGCCCTCTTCGGATCAACGCTACCAATACGCTATTTGCCTGTCTATCTTCTCTAGTCGAGGCGCTCTCTTGCGTTTTCAGTTACAGCGGGCATATCAGTCATCCCTCTTTCTCGTACTGTCCTGGGCTGCGCCGAGTTGCATCAATCGTTTCGGGAATCCCGATTACGAGGGTGGGTTAAGGTTAGGATAAGATTGCATTCCCGCGCCGCGCCGCGGCTCTCTTGCTCTCTCCCGTCATGGTCATCATACATGCATACTGTAGTCAATGCCACTCCCGTGTTACTCTAACTAAGCAAGAACTTCGACTGAAGGTGTGACTGCTGGAGAAGAGGCGAACGGATAATCCACGTAACCGCGAGCACCACCGACGTAGTACGTCGCCTCATCCGGCTCGTTGAGCGGCAGATCCTCTTTCAGACGGCGGACAAGATCCGGCTGCAGGGTTTCGGATTAGCGACGCTTCGGACGCCACACAGGACGTGCTCACATTGGCGAGGAACTTCTGGCCGAAACCTACGAGGGTGTAGTCGTCCTTCTCTGCAGCCTCAATGGCGCGTTCCCGAGTATAACAGCGGGCAGTGACATATGTTCGAGGACCCCAAGCTTTACGAATCGGCTCGTTTGACTGTAGCACGCCTGCGGAGGTCTTGGCTTGTGGCTCATCTGCCTCGCAGACGTGAAGGTACGCGAAGTTCGGGTGCTTCTCAGCCAAGCGCGAGGCGAAGGTGACGAAAGTAGGCAACGGGTCAGGCATACCCATGTCTACAGTGATGATGTGAGTCATATCATTAACCCAGAGAAGTGTATTATCACTTACCATAGTAGTTAGCCCACGGCGAAATCCTCATCGCGCACCTCTCCGCTCCGATGGCCCCAGCGATGGCATCTGCAACCTCAAGGCCGAACCGAATACGGTTCTCAACGCTACCGCCGTACTCGTCTGTGCGATTGTTACTATGCGTCTGGAAGAACTGGTCCACGAGGTAACCGTTGGCAGCATGGACTTCGACTGTGATCCAAACAATGAGAATTACGGCTGACAAGCACAACTTCCGGAGTTCGCTCACCGCCGTCGAAACCAGCTGCAATGGCATTCTTGGCCGCGGTACCGAACAGCTGCACATACTCTTTGACCTCCTCGGTTGTCAATGCGTGCGGTTTCGGCATACCCGTCCTCGCGGTGGATCCAGCGCCGATGTACTCGATCCCTTCGGCCTCGTTCGCCTCGAACTTGGCACCACGTCCCAAGGCCCACAGCTGGCACACTATCAGACCGCCCTTTGCATGCACCGCATCCGTGATCTACAGCGGCGGTACTCAACGTTACATTCGACTGTAGCTGCGCCTTGCTTGGCTGTCAAGCGTACCCTCTTCCACTCCGCGATCTGTCTCTCGCTCCAGATACCCGGCTGTAACGGCCAACTACCAGCCTTTTTGGCGATGATGGTAGCTTCGCCGATGATGAGAGTGCCCGGGCTCGCACGCTGGGAGTAGTACTCGATGGCCAACTCGCCAGGATTGTGCTCTTCGTCGCCTCGACAGCGCCCCAGCGGACACATGATGATGCGAGACGAAAGAGCTCCGATGCCTCCGAGACGGTAAGGTTGGAAGAGCTTGGCTGTATGAGATGCCATGACAAGAAGACGAAGGAGGACGTTGTAATACTTGCGCAGCGCTTCATGGTCTATATGTATGCCTTGTTAGCTGTCTGGACTGGAAGGATCAGATGCCTCAGTCAGCACGATCACCGCGAGTTGGTTCTCGCCCAATTCGGTATTAAGGACTTTACATAACGCTTGTAGTTCTTAAGAGCGCGAATGACTAACTAACGCCGAACTTCGTCGTAGGCGAAAATACCGTTTGCTTTGGAAGACTCCGAGAATGACCGGAGCAGTGAAAGCGCATCAATTGAAAGCGGGCTAATTCCATTCAAGCTCGCTGAGAGAGGTCGATTCTATTCAAACCACTAAACATCATATCGGGAGGAAAGTGCTTTTCAGTAGCATATGGCGGTGGTACGGCAGTGCTACAGGAGAAGGACATGCAACTTGTCGTCCTTCTACAACGACTCCGACACGAGATATCGATGAGCCCATCCCACACCGCGCTTGCGCCTTGTCCATATCTGAGCTGATGCTAGATTGAATACTGCGCAGTAGCACACTATAACGTTGCGCACGGACTACAACTCTGCAAGATGGTACTTTTCATCCAGTTTGCTCCTCGTAGCGCCATACCGGATGAGTGAACATCAGGGTCCACGACCCGTGAGGGTAACCCTCCCTTGGCGGACGCCACTGGCAACCGTCGAAGACGAATCGGGATTCAAGTAGGTCGAGGCGCCGCATCCCGGCGTCGACGAACGCAGCGTCCCGTAGACGCTCTTGACCAACGCGCTCCTCGTAATGTGACCAACCACGTTTCACGCGCCCCAGATAGTCGTCCCTCTTCTCGCTGAGCGTTAGCGGTATTTGCAGCACCTCTTGAACTCGATGTAGTACGTCGCGGACACGAACACCTTGAGGTCTGTTGATAACGATATAGCACCCAGATAGGCCATCGATGGTGAAGGTCATCCGAGGTATCGGACGTCGAGTCGCGAATCTCTCCAGGTACATATCAGGGATAGGTGACCCACGCCCGTCACGGACGTGATACGCCTCGCTCAAGTCATAGCGTATGTCGAAATACAAGCGCGGTCTGTCCAGACCCAGGTCGTTGTAGGGGAGTAACTGCCAGTGCAACTGAAGTCCATTGTCCGTGACCCATTGATCGGCTATGAAACGATAATCAGTTCCATGCCATGCGTCGCGAAGGCGGTAGACTCACATTCCAGGTCGAACGCATAACTCGGCGCAGGACTGACGGAACCCGGGAAGAGACCTCCTATGGGAGGGTGCGCTCCTTTGGGAGATGATTCGACAACGGCGTGCGGTGATGGACTTGACGGCGTAACCTCGATATGCGGAACAGGTGGGGGATCTGTTTTCCGCTCAGCGTGATGACACGTCCCGTTCGAGCCAGAAGACGTTTCCTCCCCAAGGTGGCACTGGCGTCCACAACAAGGTAAAGTCCTACATGGTCGGAACATGAGTCAGTACATGACAGCGTGGGATGCAAGAGTGGACGCTTGCCAGATGTAATCCTTGGGAACGCCGACTCTTGACGCTTTGGCTGTACACCAAGGGCAGACCCTCTCCACTGGCAGAGGGTTATCGGCTCCCGAGAGACGACTCTGTACCGCGACGAGGCCCTCCTGAACGGCGGATAAAGTATGCAGCATCTCCGTGGTTTTCCGATCCAAGTTCTGGATATCAGCGCGAGTCCGTGAAGTTTCGACGCCCACTGTCGCGCTGTTCGCCAAAAGTGTTTGGGTGTCTTCGTATACGGCTGACACAATCCCCATTGCTTCCATGACCGCGAAATCCAACTTGTGGACGTCGGCGCTGATCTCAACGGAGTCTCTACGCGCCGCACGGACGTCCTCTTGTATCGCCGAAGCACGGTTGACCATCTGAACTATGTTCTGACCCATCGTCTCCACGTTAACACGGGTGCTCGAGAGATTCGCGTTCAGGGTGACGACTTGATGCTGTGCACGTAGACTCCCGTTCACCATAAGATCAAGCATCACTCGCGTGGCACGAGTTTCTTCGTGAATCGCTGACGCCTGTTGTCCAATGTCGGTTGCCTTCATGCTGCCAGTTCAGGTGAGCAATTCGTATAACTTCAACTCGTGAGCAACGCACTAGTTGGCGGACGTCACCGAGACCTGCAAACTCTGAAGCACTGTTTGCATCTCCTCTTGAACTCTCGCGACGTCACCACGATACCGGAAGTGCCACTCTACTTTGTGAAGGCCCCGTCGGATAGCTTTACCAGGGCTGACACTGCCAGGTTCTGGGACCTTGGCCAGTGGTTCCAATTTCGCCACGCGGTCCAGCCCTTTCTCTACCTGCAAGCAACACTCGGCGATCTTGGATAGGATGGTCTTCCTTAGTCCCGCATTCGGCGATTCGGATACGATCGAGTGTATTTGCATCATCAAGGCGCCCATCTCGTAGAGATAGTCGACGAAACGCCTGTACTCCTGAGGGGCGCCGTGCGTCTCGCTCAGAGACTTCGCCATACTATATAGTATTTGTGCGGCAGTGACAATGTCGCCGAAGGCGTTGAAGGAGATGGGAAACATAGGCGCTCTTGAATGTGTCCAGTAAGCGCACTGCCGTTTCAACGCCACACGAGTGACTCACGAATCAGCGATGCTTGAAGGACCTCTACTCCACCGAGACCGGACCAGTACTGGATCTTGGGGTACGAGAAAAGGCGAAGTGGATGCAACACGGAGGAGTGAGGATTTTGAAGAGCCCGGCGTAGCCTTGGGTTGTTATCGATGGTATTCCGATGTCTTCGGCTGTGTATGTGGAAGTACTAGAAGCGTCATCCATTCAGCCAGTAGGCGCCTGCGGTCCGGTCGAGCGAGGTCTGGGATGACCGCCAGTACTCCGACGGTTTGAGAAGTAGGGTGTATGAGGGTAGTATTTCTTGACGAGCATGATGGTCCGGAACAGGTCGCCAACAGGCAGCACTCGCGGCTGCGTTCGAGCCTTTGTTGAACGCGTGACATCACGCGGCTCGTCGGAACTTTAGGCCGAACGCGAAACGCTTGCACAGCTCTGCGACGTCGACTTCACAGCCGCATTTGGCGTGCGCGTACACGCGTCAACTCAAGCGATCGTTACTGGAAGCTAGAGTATTTCTGCGTCCACACTTGCTGAGAGTCACGGCGGAGCCCAAGACGGCGACACGCCGGCCCTTACCCCATCATCGTAAGTCGTTGCCACCGCAATATACTTGCACCGGCTTCCATAATCAGCACACGATTCTTGTTACACGCCAAGGCGAATAGGCAATCTTGCTATCTACGAGACTATACACCAGGGGCAAGCGCCGTCCCGGCTTGAAGAATCGGGTGTCTGTCCAGGTTTGAGTCTGGTTGAAAGGCCGTTCGTGCAGCCTCACATACTTTTGAATGGCACACGTGGCCCCGATGCTTTCCTTTGTGAGGGCTCCTTTGAGCAAGACTGACGAGACACACACCTATGGCATCAGTTCTTGAGCAGCTTCATTTCCTGCTTCTCGGATCTTCGGCGCTTCATTTCCGGTGCGCCTCGTGTGATCGCGGATCCCCGCCTCCCGCCCCCGACTTCCCGCCCTCGCTGCCAGCCACGGCGAGCACAGAAACAGGCATGCTGTACCGTAGAATGGACATACTCATATATATATTTGAAGAGCGCCGAACGCACCGTTCCAGATGACGCCACGTCCGGAAGCACCGGCTCGTGGGAAGTCACCGGTAATATTTTCCGATTTTTGTCAAATTATGATGTCCGCCACTACCTTTCACGAGGCTCTAATAGCCGTACAAGATCTTGGCAAGTACCCGTATAGCTATGGGCGAGAACGAGAGAGGCCAGTGCCAGCGAGGACTGGCGCGACACGCGCCCCCGCCGTGGGAAATACGCCGACGACGCGCCTCGCGCGCCGCGCCGCGCGGCTCTCGTCCTTTGTCTTCGACCGCCGTCAAATCTCTCCATTGCCTTCCGGTACATACTCATGTGGGCAGCTTGGCTCGCAGCGAGGGATGGGTAGCCAGACATTACACTGCAGTGTCCTTTGCTCCGACTGCTACCTTTGCACGTACTCTCCGGCGAGACTTTGACACCCCATGTACTGTACTGTAGCCGATGTCAAGTAAGTCTGATGTGGGCTGCCGGCGTTTC